GCAACTGTAGTTCCAGGTCTGGAGTCTTCAGGGATGGAGCTTGAAAATGAGGTAACTTCAATCTCAGGTGCATTATCATTAACATCAACTATCTTTATAATGATGCTTTTCTGTGTGGTCAGAGGAGCCAAACCTTTATCCGATGCTTGAATTTCAATTTCGTATTTGTCCTTTTGCTCATAGTCTATTACACCTTTAACAATTATCTCTCCTGTTGGTGGATCAATATCAAAACGCTCTAATAACCTATGATTCACAATACTGCTAAATGAATAAACCACTTCTCCGTTTGGTCCTTCATCTAAATCAGTTGCATTCACTTGCACGACTGTTGTGCCGACTGGAGCATTTTCATCAAGCATCACAGAATAAACATCTTTAGAGAAAGCAGGTGCATTATCATTAATATCCAAAACATTTACTAGAATATTTATCTCGCCAGATTTCGGAGGTTTCCCTCCATCCAGTGCGGTCAGCACTAATGAGTGGGTTGCCGCTACCTCCCTGTCCAAAGATTTCTGCACAATTAATATAGGTATTTTCCCATCCTCTCCCTTATCCTTAACTTCTAAACGGAAGTGGTCATTGGGGCTGAGTTTATACTGCTGAACAGAAAAAGGACCACCGTCTGGATCTCTCGCGTGCTGTACCGGAATACGTACTCCGGGCAGCACAGATTCTGAAATCTCCAACGTTTTCTCTTTATCCGGGAAGCTCGGAGAATGGTCATTTATATCTAAAACTTCCACCCCTATATAATGCACCTCCAGTGGATTTTCTAACACGGTTTTCAGATTTATTAAACACGTACTGCTCTGCGCGCACACCTCTTCTCTGTCAATCTTCCGGCTCACATACAGGATGCCATCGTTTTGATTTACATGGAAGAGAGGATCCGCGTTAGTAGATACAATACGATACTTCCTCTCTGTCAGTGTGCTTTTATCCAATCCCAGATCTTTCGCTACATTTCCAACCACTGTTCCTTCGTTAACTTCCTCGGAGATGGAATATCGTATTTGCGCTGAAGTCACGCTCCACATAAGCACAGCAACCACGCAGCCGACCAGATATCCTCTCGCCCTGCGTCTGTCGTAGCTTCTTTGTTCCATGGTTAAACCCGATATCGTCAGTGATCATTCACAGCAGCAAAACCCGCATTTCAATGAACGAATACAATACTTCCACATGTGAAAATATTCATCCTCTTGTTAGCGCAGCAGACATGGCGATAAATAGTCTCCACAAAAGCAGCAGGACGCTCAGAAACAACCGTGATGATCACGAACTGAGGCAGTGATCAAGAGGTGGAACCACAATGCGCTGACGACAAGCACAGGCAATGCTGACTTTTTCTATTACACTGACACCATGCGATATGAATTCTTACTGCAGTAAATCAAAAGCCAGCAGCATTTTAGTTAATTGTTAGAATATGTGTGTTAAATGAATACTTATTATTGTCGAAACAGTGCCAAACACCAGTGTGATGAGTGGAAATAGACGATGGAGCTGCTCACTTTAAAAACAAAACCTTCTTATAGATTTAAAACAGACACTTAAAAAATGAAGACAATAATCTACCAAACACACGGAAATATGTTTACACTGAGATGAAGTCACTGTCTTTTGATATAACTTATGAACACAGCCTGAAAATGACAGCTAACCTGATAAGCACCATGGACAGCGAATAACACCATCTTGACTTCTCTCCTGCCACACCGGGTCATGGTATCCCATTTTACGTTTGTGATAAAAGTACCATAAACACAGGCTTATTCAGATTTCAAACTTGCCAAGGAAAACAACACAGTGATCCAATGTTGCATTTTTCAAAAGCATACAAAACCCAAGGAAATCATGAAATACAACGTATGTGCAGCCAAAACTAATAAAATGATCACCAGAGGCGCCCCATTTTAACAATTTTCTGCCACAAATTCTGTTCAGAAACAAAAAAATCTGAAATCTGAATAAAAATTCAGTGTTAAGTCATCAAAAACTTTCTTGCAGTTTAACCACGATGTTTCCACTATCTTAACTGACGGTTTTAATTGCTTCACCAACTTAACTATGCTTTAATGCTTAACTCTGTCCATAGTAGTGGGGGAAAGAATCAAAACTTTGACATTAAAAGCTTTTCAGACACGTCCATTATGAAGGTATTGCAAATAATGTTATAAATGAACATACTGAAGATATTGCCCACTGCTTCAACATCAATGCTTGATTAAGTATGTCTTACCTCTTCAGAAGTACGTCTCCTATCAGGGAGCACTAGTGTGTTGGCATGGCTGCCAGGGACTATAGTAGATCCTATACTCNGTTCACTGTCACGTTGTTGCTTAGTGACGGAGTTCCTGAATCTGTGGCGACAACTTGGAACTGGAAAGTTTTCACTGTTTCAAAGTCAAAACTTTTCAGCGCCAAAATATCTCCATTTTCAGAGTTTATGTTGAGAAATGAAGTCAATTTGTTATCAGTGCTTGAGTCTCTGACAATATGATAGGATATAAGCGCATTGCTGTTCTCATCACGATCAAAAGCTTTAACAGAAAACACAGAGACTCCTGGCTCATTGCCCTCAGTCACATAGAAAGTATATGGACTCTGTGAAAACTCTGGACTGTTGTCATTCACATCTGATACAACAACGCTTATTGTCTTTTCAGATGACAATGGTGGTTGACCAGCATCTTTTGCAGTTATTGTCAACTCATATTGTGACTGTTTCTCTCTGTCCAGAGGGGATTTGGTCACTAATGAATACATCTTGTCTTGTGACGAAGGTGTTAAAGCAAAAGGAACATCCTCAGCTATGGAGCAAATAACTTTTCCATTGAGCCCAGAGTCCAAGTCATTTACACTGATCAGGGCAACTGTAGTTCCAGGTCTGGAGTCTTCAGGGATGGAGCTTGAAAATGAGGTAACTTCGATCTCAGGTGCATTATCATTAACGTCAACTATTTTAATAATGACGCTTTTCTCTGTAGTTAGCGGAGCGAAACCTTTATCTGATGCTTCAATTTCAAGTTCGTACCTATCCTTCTCCTCGTAGTCTATTACTCCTTTAACAGTTATCTCACCTGTTAATGGATCGATATCAAAAAGGTTCAACAAATCATGATGCATACTGTTGCTAAACGAGTAAACCACTTCTCCGTTTGGTCCTTCATCTAAATCAGTTGCATTCACTTGTATGACTGTTGTATCTACTGGAGAGTTTTCATCAAGCATCACAGAATAAACATCTTTAGTGAAAACAGGTGCGTTATCATTAACATCCAAAACATTTACTAGAATATTCATAGTACCAGATTTTGGAGGTTTCCCTCCATCCAGTGCGGTGAGCACTAATGAGTGGCTTTTTGCAGTTTCTCTGTCTAAAGGTTTTTGAACAACTAATACTGGTGTTTTCCCGTATTCTCTTTTATCTTTAACTTCTAAACGGAAGTGATCATTTTGGCTGAGTTTATACTGCTGCACGGAGAAATGACCACTGTCTCCATCCCGTGATGCTTTTAGCTGAAATCGCGCTCCGGGCAGCACAGACTCTGAAATCTCTAACGTTGTCTGCTTTTCTGTAAAATTGGGTGAATTGTCATTTATATCCAGCACTTCCACTCCAACATAATGCACTTCCAGCGGGTTTTCTAACACAGTTTTCAGATTTATTAAACACGTACTGCTCTGCGCGCACACCTCTTCTCTGTCAATCTTCCGGCTCACATACAGGATGCCATCGTTTTGATTTACATGGAAAAGAGGATCCGCGTTAGTAGAAACAACCCGATACTTCCTCTCTCTCAGTGTGCTTTTATCCAATCCCAGATCTTTTGCTACATTACCAACCACAGTTCCTTCGTTAACTTCCTCGGAAATAGAATATCGTATTTGCGCTGAAGCCACGCTCCACAAAAGCACAGCAACCACGCAGCCGACCAGATATCCTCTCGCCCTGCGTCTGCCGTAGCTTCTTTGTTCCATGGTTAAACCCGATATCCTCAGTGGTCATTCACAACAACAAAAATCGCATTGCACTGAACGAATACAATACTTGGACGTGTGAAAATATTCATCCTCTTGTTCAGACAGCAGACATGACAACAGATTGAGTCTTTCCAAAAGCAGCAGGGCGCTCAGAAACGACCGTGTTAATCTCGAACTGAGGCAGCGATCAAGAGGTGGAATCACAATGCGCTGACGACAAGCACAGGCAATGCTGACTTTTTCTATTACACTGACACCATGCGATATGAATTCTCACTGCAGAAAATCAAAAGCCAGCAGCATTTTAGCTAACTGTTAGATAATATGTGTGAAATTATTATTTATTTTTGTCGAAATTGTGCCAAAAACAGTGTGGTGAATGGAAGGAGACGATGGAGCTGCTCACTTAAAACAAAACCTCCTTCTTATAGATTTAAAACAGACACTTTCAAAATGAAGACAATAATCTACCAAACACACGAATATATGTTTCCCTCATTAAACACTGAGAATGAGTCACTGTCTTTTGATAGAACTTATGAACACATGCTGGTAAATGACAGCAAACATGCGCAGCACAATGGACAGCGAATAACACCAACTTCACCTCTGTTCTGCCACATTTGGTCATAGTATCCCATTACAGGTTTTTGAGTAATGCACCATAGACACAAGCTTATTCAGATTTTAAGCTTGTCAATGAAAACAAAACAACAGAACAATCTAATGCTGCATTTTTCAAAAGCATACAAGGGCCCAGGAAAGCATGTAATACAATATATGTGCAGCCAAAAATTAATTGAATGATCATCACACGCCCAAAGCTTAATAATTTTCTGCCACAAATTCTGTTCAGAAACAAAACATCTGAAATACGTATCAGCATTCACCGTTAAGTCAACAAAAACTTTCCTCAGGTCCAACCATGATGTTTCCACTATCTTTACTAACGGTTCTATTTGCTTCATCAATTTAACTATGCCTTAATGCTTAACTCTGTCCATAGGAGTGGGGGAAAAATCTAAACTTAGACATTAAAAGCTTTCCAGGCATGTCCATTATAAAGGTATTGCAAACAATGTTATAAATGAACATATTGAAGACACTGCCCACTGCTTCAACATCAATGCTTGATTAATTATGTCTTACCTCTTCAGAAGTACGTCTCCTATCAGGGAGCACTAGTGTGTTGGCATGGCTGCCAGGGACTATAGTAGATCCTATACTCATCCTGGGTCCAACTAACATGTAGCGTTTGTCTCCAGATCTGTACTGGATGCTGTGACACAGTGTCCCATCATAATTAGCCTCTTGTAGATATTTGGAAGTATAGTCTGTGGATTTGGAGCACTGCATTGCAATCAGCACGATGATACTGATGATAAAAAGTAGAGAAACTGAGCCCAAAGTTATCATGAGGTAAAATGTCACATTGTCCTCCTCGTCAACTTTAGTTGCACTTTTAACATCAGAAGCTGCAAAAGCCTCTCTGGGCTCCACAAGTTTGACAATGACAGTAGCTGTTGCTGAGAGTGAAACGTTGCCATTGTCTTTGACCAGTATGAGCAGTTTATGCTCAGCCTCGTCTGTCTCTGTGAATGAGCGAAGTGTTCTGATCTGTCCTGTATAGCGGTCCAAAGCAAAGAGACTGTGGTCAGTGACTTCCTGCAGTGAAAAGAGTAACCAGCCGTTATATCCTATATCAGCGTCATAGGCTCTGACTTTAGTCACCAAGTGTCCTGCGTTGACATTGCGGGGAATCTCCTCCACACCTTCAGCAGAACCGTTGGAGCTGACTGGATACAGGATGACTGGAGCGTTGTCGTTCTGATCCAGAATGAACACGTTCACTGTCACGTTGTTGCTTAGTGACGGAGTTCCTGAATCTGTGGCGACAACTTGGAACTGGAAAGTTTTCAGTGTCTCAAAGTCGAAACTTTTCAATGCCAAAATATCTCCGGTTTCAGAGTTGATATTTAAAAATGAGGTTAATTTATTGTCTTCGCTTCCATCTCTGATAATATGATAGGAAATACGGGCATTTTCGTTCTCGTCACGATCAAAAGCTTTTACAGAAAAAACAGAGACTCCTGGCTTATTGCCCTCAGTGACATAAAAAGTATATGGACTCAATGAAAATTCTGGACTGTTGTCATTCACATCTGATACAACAATGCTTATTGTCTTTTCAGATGCTAATTGAGGTTGACCAGCATCTTTTGCAACTATTGTTAGATCATACTTAGCCTTTTTCTCTCTGTCCAGAGGGGATTTGGTCACTAATGAATACATTTTGTCCTTTAAAGATGGTGTTAAAGCAAAAGGAACATCCTCATCTATTGCGCAAATAACTTTTCCATTGAGCCCAGAGTCCAAGTCATTTACACTGATCAGGGCAACTGTAGTTCCAGGTCTGGAGTCTTCAGGGATGGAGCTTGAAAATGAGGTAACTTCAATCTCAGGTGCATTATCATTAACGTCAACTATCTTTATAATGACGCTTTTGTCTGTTGTAAGAGGAGCCAGACCTTTATCTGATGCTTCAATTTCGATTTCATATCTGTCCTTCTCCTCATAGTCTATGACGCCTTTTACAGTTATCTCACCTGTTAATGGATTGATATCAAATATGTTTAATATATTTTGATTCATACTGTTGCTAAAAGAATATATCACATCTCCGTTTGATCCATCATCCAAATCAGTTGCATTCACTTGTATGACCGTTGTGCCTACTGGTGCATTTTCATCGAGCATCACAGAATAAACATCTTTAGTGAAAGCAGGTGCGTTATCATTAATATCCAAAACACTTACTACAATATTCATAGTACCAGATTTTGGAGGTTTCCCTCCATCCAGTGCGGTCAGCACTAATGAGTAGCTTCCCGCAGTTTCCCTGTCTAAAGATTTTTGAACGATCAGTATTGGTATTTTACCGTCCTCTCCTTTATCCTTAACTTCCAAACGGAAATGATCGTTTTGGCTGAGTTTATACTGCTGCACGGAGAAAGGACCACTGTCTCCATCCCGTGAGGGTTTTAGCTGAAATCGTGCTCCGGGCAGCACAGACTCAAAAATGTCCAACCGTTTCTCTTTCTCCGGGAAAGTGGGAGAATGATCATTTATATCCAGCACCTCCACTTCAACATAATGCACCTCCAGTGGATTTTCTAACACTGTTTTCAGATTTATTAAACACGTACTGCTCTGCGCGCACACCTCTTCTCTGTCAATCTTCCGGCTCACATAGAGGATGCCATCGTTTTGATTCACATGGAAGAGAGGATCCGCATTACTCGAAACAACCCGATACTTCCTCTCTTTCAAAGTGCTTTTATCCAATCCCAAATCCTTCGCTATATTTCCAACCACTGTTCCTTCGTTAACTTCCTCGGAGATGGAATATCGTGATTGCGCCGAGGCCACGCTCCACAAAAGCACAGCAACCACACAGCCGACCACACATCCNCGGAGTTCCTGAATCTGTGGCGACAACTTGGAACTGAAAAGATTTCACTGTTTCAAAGTCAAAACTTTTCAGCGCCAAAATATCTCCAGTTTCAGAGTTTATGTTGAGAAATGAAGTCAATTTGTTATCAGTGCTTGAGTCTCTGACAATATGATAGGAAATAAGCGCATTGTTGTTCTCATCACGATCAAACGCTTTAACAGAAAACACAGAGACTCCTGGCTCATTACCCTCAGTGACATAGAAAGTATATGGACTCAGTGAAAACTCTGGACTGTTGTCATTCACATCTGATACAACAACGCTTATTGTCTTTTCAGATGATAATGACGGTTGACCAGCATCTTTTGCAGTTATTGTCAGCTCATACTGTGACTGTTTCTCTCTGTCCAGAGGGGATTTGGTCACTAGTGAAAACATTTTGTCTTGTAACGATGGTGTTAAAGCAAAAGGAACATCCTCACCTATGGAGCAAATAACTTTTCCATTGAGTCCAGAGTCCAAGTCATTTACACTGATCAGGGCAACTGTAGTTCCAGGTCTGGAGTCTTCAGGGATG